GGGGGGGGGGGAAGGCACTGCCTGAAAATTTGCTTACAGACTTGTGTTTAAGTCGTACTTGTCACTCTAGAGTTGTCGGGTCTCTCTGTTGGAACATAGATGCCGCCACATTTAATAATTTTAATTTTTATGCCAATATTTTACATATGCGTTTCTTTTTTAATTTTTTTTTTAACTTCAGGGGAGGACATGGCATGTTTGGCTTGCTCTCTCCCCGTCGCTTTTGCTGGCTCCCCAAACGTGTACTCATTTCTGTTAATGTGCTAAAAAACATGGGGACCAGCCAAGAGCTTTGGAAACTTGGAAACACAAAGAAAGCAGTTGAGAGCTCTGTTCACCGTGGTTCGTGTTGCAGATTTGCGCTGTTTATTATCTAGGTGGGATTTTTTTAATGCTAGTGGGGTGGGACTAAGTGCCTTGTACTGCGACCACTTCTGGCCTATTGTACCAGCCCCAGATGATAGGTGAGGGTGAATGTGGAGCAGTTGGTGGAATGAAGATTGGCAGGGGAACCGAAGTACTCGAAGAAAACCTGCCCCAGCGTCACTTTGTCCACCACAAATCCCATTTGACCAGACCCGGGATCGAACCCGGGCCGCCGCGGTGGGAAGCCAGCGACTAACCGCTTAATTACGGCGCGGCCCTATCTAAGTGGGTTAGTCAGGAAGAGGTTCTGAACTTAATCGTAACACTGGTTCGTAAATATGAATTGCTCGTCCCTGCTCCTCGAATGTAATTTTAATTTCTCATACTCTGTCTGGGGAAGCCGGAATAGCGTAGTCGGTATAGCGACTGGCTACGGGCTGGACGACCGAGGGGTCGGAGTTCGAGTCCTGGTAGGGTCAAGAATTTTATCTTCTCCACGTCGTCCAGATCGGCTCTGGGGTCCATCTAACCTCCTATCCAATGGGTACCGGGGGCTCTTTCTCCGGGGATAAAGCGGCAGGGGCGTGAAGCTGACCTCTCACCTCCAACTAGTGCTGAGGTCAAGAAAATGTGGACCTATACGTCCACTCCCCCACACGTCTTCATGGCGTAGTGCTTAATTAGTTCTACTCTGTCTGAAGCAGCATGCCTTCAGCAAGTAAGAGAACGGAAGTGCGTTGCGTGAGATCTCCGCTATCCCAGCGAATTTTGCGTATAGAATTGGTGACTTTCTGATGATGATGTGACCATCAACTTCACTGTCTGAGTAAGACAGAGATGCTTTATACAGTGTATACAGTTATTCGCGATGTACTGAATCTGGGAAAGGCATTCGTGCGAGAGGTCAGCTTTGTGCGGGTCCACAAGGATTGTGAAGGAAAACAAGACGAGACTGTCCTTCCGTGTTGCAGGCTCACTTCTATTGGTCGTATTCTTCTGAAAGGAAGAAAACGCAGTCTCATGCCCTCGTGCGTGAGCAGGATCTGCACAGAAGTGTCACGTTTTACTGTGAAAAATTTCTTACAGACTCCTACTTATGCCGTTTAAGAGTGATTTTACTGATCGACCTACAATGTTCAGGTTAAAGATTATTTTTTAAATAAGTTTTCATATGGTATATGTTCCTCGTCTCCAATTTTGATTTTTTTTTCTTCAAAATCGTAGGAACCGGGAGCAAATGTGTGGCTTGCATCTACCCTCTCTGCCGGCGCCCATGACAGACGTTTTTACTGTGAATACTGACACATTTCAGAGATCCGATACCTTAACATTTTACGTGGAAGGTTCCTTACATGCTATTTGTCGTATTTACATATTTAATACTTCAAAGAGCAATCGCAATTGCATACTCGTACACTGCCTGCTTCAACATAATTGTATGTATTCTGCCTAGTAGTATATTTATATGTTCCGTATGGTTCTCACAATAAACAGCGCTTGTCTCCCTAAACAGCATTAACCGATTGGGCTTTGTAGTGGTGACGTAATGTGTTTCCTGTGAGGTACGGACTCAGCTCTGCATTCTGCCCACTCAGCGTGTTTGTGTGTTCCGTGTGGTTCTCACAATAAACAGCTGCTGTTTCCCGAAACAGCATTAACCGGTTGGGCTTTGTAGCGGTGACATATTGTGTTCCCTGTAAGGTACAAACTGAATTCTACCCACACAGTGTATTTGTGTTCCGTATGGTTCTCACAATAAACAGCGATTATTTCCCTAAACAGCATTAACCGGTTGGGCTTTGTAGCTGAGACGTAATGTGTTTCCTGTGAGGTACGGACTGAACTCTGCATTTTGCCCACACAGTGTATGTATGTGTTCCATATTGTTCTCACAGTAAACAGCGATTATTTCCCGAAACAATATTAACCGTCTGGGCATTGTATTGGACACGCGGTGTCTTTAGGTTTGGATAACAACAGAATGTTTAAATATTTACATGAAACTGATGCTTCAAAGGGAAAGATATATTTTCCTTGTTATGACAACGATGTTTCGATTTTAAGTAAGTACAGACAAATGAAAGTTATCAAGTTTAACGTAGAGATTTATCGACTCTGGGACCTAACTTCTTGTTCTGCTACACCGAGTTTACAGCAAAAGCGTCTTAGATTTTTGCGTTTTTAAATTATACACAACATGAATGCCGTGTAAATAGGATCTTACATCTAAATAGAAATGTTCGGTACAACTTTCTATATAAAAGCATTAACGAATTTTTTGAATTGTTGGAATTTAATCAGCTTTAATTATGTACATTTACACGGTGTGCCCAGGATACATTAGGACCTTTTTTTTTTTGCCCTGCAATGCCATCTGTTGGCGAGTTGTGGCGTTAAGATTCTTGAAGTTTCCGCTGTGGCTGTCTGTGATTTCAAAGAGCAAGTAGGAATCGCTGCATCATGTGTTCTGACCTTGAATGTAACAGTACTGTTCTGACGCTCGTCAGAAAATGGCGGTTGGACAGAGAGCCAACATCAAATTCTGTTTGAAGTTAGGCAAAACAGCCGGAGAAGCGTACGAAATGATGAAAAGTGTGTAGGGTAGTCATTTACTTGAGTCGCTCGAACATTTTTCGATGGTATGCTGTATTTCGTGACGGCAGGGAGGACATTGAAAACGCTCCGAGTGAATCAAAGCCGAGAACAAGTCATACTGAAGAAAATGTGAGAAAAGTGACAGAAATCCTTGCATCAGACAGATGTGTTTCTGCAAGACTCATCGAGGAGCTTTTGGGAATACCAAAAAGTACTGTGCATCTAATTTTTGACCGAGGATTTGGGAAAACGGAAGGTCTGTGCGCGGTTTGTACCGCACGCGCTGTCAGGCGATGAAAAACATGCCAGAGTGGAACACTGCAGAGACATGTTACGGTCGGCCCGAAGTGATACAAAATTGACAAAATAGATTGTTACCGGTGACGAGACATGGTCTTTTCAATATGAGCATCTCACAAAGCGGCAGAGTGCAACGTGGTTGAGCCCAAAGAAGCCAGCCGAAACCAAAGAAAGTGCGCATGCAAAAGAGTCGAGTAAAGACACTACTAACCGTTTTCTTCGATTCCAAAGGAATCGTTCACTAGGAAATTCTGCCAGAATGTCAAACAGTGAATTCTGATTATTATTTTGGTGTCCTCAATCGTTTGTGGCGAGAATTCTTCGAATTCGACCTGAATATCGAGAGCAAGTTTCCTGGTCACCCCTCCACGACAATGCCCCACCCCACAAATCGAAGATCGTGCGCGATTTTTTGTCCAGAAAAGGGATCACAGTCCTTGATCATCCTCGTATTCGCCAGATTTGCCCCAGCATATTTGTGGTTGTTCCATAAAGTTAAGTTGGCGATGAAATGAGCCCGTCACGACTCCATCCAGGACATCCAAAGGGAATGTACCGCAGTTTTAAATGTGATTCCACAAAAGGAGTAGGGTGAGTGTTTTCGAAAACATTTCAATCTATTCCAGCTATGTATTAATTCAGAAGGAGACTATTTTGAATAAAGAGGGTGAAATTTTGAAAATAATGCAGGTCTTGTATTTTTAATTAACACAGTACTAACAGAACCTGGACACACTGTGTACACGTATATGGCTTAACAATCTACTGTAATTAGTTCTGATCAGATTTCTTTTTTCTTCACACTACAAACCTATGTCAGCAGACACCCTTAATTGATCCGACGCTGTTAACACATTCCTGTTCTTTGAAGGCAAACAGTAATACCCAAATAAATATAATTGAACACTAAGATGTTTGTTCGTAACTTCGTAGTCCTGGTAGCATGACAGAGACGCGAATAGCGAACCGTCGCACTGAGTGTTCTCCAGGTTGTACTACTCAAGCTCAGATATCCCGTGAACTCTCAGCCTACGAGCGAGTGGAGGTTGTGGTTGGGCCCCCCAGCCATAAATAGCAGCCAGTGAAAATTTCGAAACAAGACGAAATGGGAGGGAAAAATATATATACCATTATCCTCTCCCGCCTTTCTCCAAACCATGTGCCTTAATAGAGCAAGTGTTACGACAGTAAGAGATGTGAAAGCAAGCGCATAAATATTTCTTTTGGAGACAACACAAATGTATGCTATTTTTATCTTCTTTGATGTCACCGATTCTAAACCGTTCTGTTCAGCCATACCAACTAGATTTTAATTACCACGTGGATTGTTAAGAAGACATAGTCGGAAGGGAAATTAGATTATCGTTGTTTCATAATATTTACATATTCATTTAAAGATAATGAAATTAAGAACGACAGTTCTATTCTCATTCAACACAATGAGGAGCTTCATAACTTGTACTCTTCTCCTAGTACAATTAGAATGACCAAGTCAAGGAGGATGAGGTGGGCAAGGCATGTAGCACGATTGGGGGAGACGAGGAATGCGTATAGGATATTGGTGGGAAAGTCTGAAGAAAAGAGACCACTGGGAAGACAAGGCATAGGTGGGTGGAAAATATTAAAATGGATCTTAGAGAAATAGGATGGGATGGTGTGGATTGGATTGATCTGGCTCAGGATAGGGACCAGTGGAAGGCTCTTGTGAACACGGTAATGAACCTTCGGGTCCTATAAAATGCTGAGAAATTCTTGAGTAGCTTCAGAATTGGCAGCTCCTCCAGAAGTGCTCAGCTCCATGAGTAAGTAAGTAAGTTCTATTCAACAGTGTTTCAGATTGCCTTCTAAATTACTTTACGATCTATAACTGCTTTTCATATAAACAAAGCAGGAGATCTATTATGCGACTTATTGAGAACGAGTAGTATTGCTATTATTGATTTTTTTAGATAACTGAATACTAACTAAATTTAATAATAAACTGCATGTATTACATGTTTATAATTTTATTTACTTTTGTCAGTGAACATGCATCATGTAGCCTAATAGAGTAAGAATGAAGATTTCCATAATTTCTGACACAGAATGAGGATTGTGGTTTTAAGATGAAATTATGTTCCGATGGCTGACCCTTACAGAAATTTCGGACAACCCCTATGCGTCATTCTGCTGCACTTACCCACATTTATATTTTGAAAAAAAAAAAAAGTATATACAGTATATGTATATATATAGTCCAGGCATGTCAAACTCAACTTGTACAGAGGGCCACCTCAACCCCATAAAAAATAATAGTCCAGGGCTGCACTTCAAAATAGAAATATACATTAGATTTTGATACAAGGAAATTTAATTCTATTTATTATTTAGGAATAATTTCAATATAATTACCTAATGTCACATATCTTACAGTTTTAAAAAGCAAGAGAATGCCATTTTTGACAAGTATAAAACAGCTTTTCAATACGTAAAAAGAGAGATTACACAAGAAATTGTGTTAGAAATAACAAAACATTGAATTTCCTGCAGCCTGCTAATTTATGTCTGCGTGAGACTTCTTGTCTTCCGGTCTGTTGGAAAATTGTCTTTACAAAAAATATTTCTACTAAAATTTCAATATTGATTTTAATATCAATTAGCTCTAAAAGTTGAGGGGCAGCACTTTGTGGCTATGGGGGCCGCATGATTGACACAGCTGGTCTAGTCAATTCTGATCCGGGCACGCTAACCTAGCGTTCTCTTAATACAACTCGCCCACCATCTGTTGGGATGTTTTGAAAGGCAGTGCTAAACTACACAGCACTGAAGAGATGGCGGTAAAAGCAGCCGTGATTGCAGTTTTGATATGTCGATAAACCGAAATCCCACGGATGAGTTATATGCTACTTCTAAGTGAGTATAATTAAATACTTTCCTAAGTTATAGTTGCTGAGAAGTTCATTGAGGTAGGCCTAGGCCCACTGGGGCTGTAGTGCCAAGGAAAAGAAAGAGTTATAGTTGGCTGTAGTAGCCTAATAACTATAACATCAAAACTAGGAAATATGTTGGAGAGATGAACATGGCAAGAGGAAGAAGAAGAAGAAGAAGAAGGAAAAAAAAGTTATAAATTTTGCATGAATATGTAGGAAATTAATCATTTTGATTCTCTAAAAGTCTTCAAGTGCTATCCAGGTATCGATTTTTGCAGTAGGTACCATACAAATTTCCTTTCAATGTGTATTTGTCACGGTCCCATATTTTTCTACTAGTCTAGAGCGTCTACCAAGTTCTGAGCAGTTATTCCCACTCCTGTTTATAAAATAAAAAATGAATTTCATACGGATTTAATGACGATCATTATATATTATAAGAGAGTTTCTTAAATCTTTTTAGCTTGGGTTCACGATTCATGCGTTGATTGCAACAAGAATATGGCAGTTCTGTAATATCTGTCATAAATAAGAACTGTAAAATTGTGTCTTTTCATTAGTTCTGCATTAAATTGATATATCACGATGTCCTACTCTTCATGATTTCTTTCAATGAAGTGCATAAAATGAATCCATAATTGGTGGTTGTGCTTTTCCTTCCTTCGAACATTTCATTTTCCAGATCACTTGCCAGATTGGATAAATTTCGTATTACGGCCGTCTGCGTTGAAAGTTGTCAGTTTCATTCTGGTCTATATTATTTAGTGCACGTACTTTATACGAAGCTAAAAAAAAAATCATAGATTTTTTCTTAAATCTTCATCATACAGTGGTATCATCAAAACCTAGCATAGAAGTTGGAGACTGTAACAGACTTGAGAACACTGGCCTGTGTGCGATAATGGTTTGTGAAGCGAAGTAACGATTTGTATAGGTCAATCGAGTCAGCAGTCCAAACTCCGTTTAGTCGCTCATACACATGGCAATATATTCTTGTGAGTCAAAGAAGCTGGACACAGTGAATAGGTATAATTTTCAGTCATAATTTCACGGAACAATAATAAAGAATGCATTTCCTTTTACTGCTGTTCATTCGAAGTGTAGGATTAATAAAGAATTAATTCAAAGGGGAAGCACAATAAATCATTGAAGGTCGCGGTGCGTGGGCCGGTTTCTATGGTTCACCCCTCATACTCATAATCTTCATTCCATCAAATTCTCCACAGATAAGAATATCTAATTAATTCTAAATTGTAATCAACTGTAAACAATTGTAACTATTGTAATTTTAATCTTACTCATATATTAAATTGTTAATATTCAGAATTAACTTGACTTGTCCCATATCATGTACAATGATCTCCAGTGACGAAATAAATCAATCAATCTATCAGATCGAATAACAGTTACATGACAAGCTCTTAACAGAACAAAAGATTCAAGAACATTGAATGCTAGTCGAAAGGAAAATGTTGCATGCTTTTGAACAGATCGTAACTGTATTTATGCTCCACATTACGTGTTCATTGTTCCCGCTAAACGTCAGTCTTGCGCAGAAAGCCCTTTTGCAGCCGTACGCTGAAATGAAGTAGGTCTGGTGGGTCTGGTGTGACGGAGAGTAGTTTCTGCTAGAAGGACTGGAGTTTTTGCTCTTAAATTCTTAAGTTTTCTAATTCTTATGGCTCCAGGTGACGATACTGACAGTGGACTGGAGTCTTTGTCAGCGAGCAATAAATCTTTGGCGACATCCAGCAGAAAAGACAGTAAAGATATGAAGTCGGAAGTTGAGGATGATATTGAAGACGAGGTAACCACAGATCACGGTATACACTGTGAGAACCTTGTCGAAATATAGTCTTAAAAGCACATAATGATATTATTTTGGATACGTTAGTTTTAACTTGTAACTATTCTGATTGTAATCCAGCATATTTTCCATGCAATTGAAGATAGGTTATGTTATCCTGAGTCGATGCCAGCAGCAGGTGTTCGGAATTTTCGCAAACTGTTTACGCTTTGTTATTTTCACCATATAGAACTATTTGTAAGCCAGATTAATTGTTCATATTGGTATTCGTTACAGGATTGAGTACCTTACAAATGTCAGTAGCACATGTGCTTGTGCGCATGGATTTGTAAATCAGACAATTGCTTATGTATTTTTATTTATGGGTTAATTAACAACACTGTCACGAGTGTCTTTCGGTTAGATGATACCAGATGAATTGGAAAGGATGTGGAAGGAAGTACTGGTTTAATTTAAGGTACTATTCTGGCATTAGCCTGGAGGGGCTGAGGAAAATAATGAAGAGCTCTGTCAGGAGAGTCAGTGCTCTGGATGAGATTCGAACAGGGTAGCTCCGGAATGCAAGCTAAAAGGGTTTGCTGCTTATGGCAACCTGCTCACTGAATTGTTATACTTTGTTATGTTTAAAATTGTGTCAAGACTGATTGACTGGTTTGTTTGATAATGCAATGCAGAAACTTAATGTGTTTTATTTTAAGTGTGTTTAGATAACTTGGTAGGGAAATGTTATGAGTACTAATGTTTGCTTCCTATTTGTTTTTCAGGACTTAGATGAAACCCTATCTGAGAGACTTTGGGGGCTTACTGAGATGTTTCCAGAAGGAGTTCGTAATATAACTTCTGCTGTTGTGTCTAGCACTTGTACCGGAATTAAAGGTTATTTCAGATTTCAGTCCCAGTAGTTAATAATGCTTTTCTAAGCAGTAGTTTTGTAATGCTCTGTATTTGTCCTAAAGAAAGACTTAGCAGAGCTTTGATTTAAGGTTCTCACAGTGGTGATTATGAAGAGTGCTATATTCTTTAATGAGATGCCATGCAGTGCAGTAGAATGTCACCAATGTTTTGAAGGCACATACATACATACATACATACATACATACATACATACATACACACACACACACATTTCATCTTGTAAGTCCAAAACAAATCGACATGAAGGTCGTCATATCAAAAAAACAAATACAGAAAATTTAAACAAAAACACAGATAACAGAGTAATTAATAGTAATTGTTTATGTTATGCTCCACATGCTCAGAAACTGTATAAAAGGAATTATTCGTAAGATATAAAGAATGTATTGCTTCCATGTAAAAAGGTAAAATTCTCTCTATGCCTTACTAATTAAGCACTACACCATGAAGGCGTATGGGCCAGTGAATGTATAGACCCACGTTTTCTTGACCTTGGCAGTTGTTTGAGGTGAATGGTCAGCTTCACGCTCTGGCCGCTTTACCCCCTATGGAAAGATCCCCTAGTATGCCCTGAATATGAGGCTGGGTAGGCTGCAGAACCAGTGTGGAGAAGAGAAAATTCTTGCCCCTACTGGGACTTGAACTCTGACCTCTCAGCTGTCCATCCCTTAACCAGTCACTATACTTATCGCGCTATCCTGGCTCCTGTTACCACCATGTTCAGGGTCAAAGAGTAAACCAAGCAAGTAACCGGCAAGAAGCAGGCAGCAAGTAGAGTACCACTGATGATGGGAGCTGTACAAGTTGTTCCTTGTAAATGTCAGAGGAAGATAGTACTCAACATTTTGTATGACCACTCTTGCTTCCATCATCAGGATGAAAGGTGGAAGCTGTATGTTCCTCAGAAATGTTTGTACATGTCTACTGCAGGACATACGAGTAGTGTAACATCCAATAAAACAGTAATCCTAATAAATGTCCTAATACTGTGACATGTCCTCCAGGGCCTTCTTTTGAATTGTTGTAGCCAGGACTGTTAATTTCAGATTCTGAATAATTTTTTCTGCAAAGAATCCAGCTACCAATAAAATTACTAATCAGGATTACTGGGTTTCCTGGACTTTGTTCTGGTGTTCTAAAAAACTAGAGAATGCGTCTTTTCAGAAAGAGCTAACCTCAATCACTGGACGAGTGATTGAGGTTAACTCTCTCTAAAGGACCCATCAGAGTAGGTGTCTCCTCCCTCGCCTGAGAACGGAAATAGATGCAGTTTCTGAAATGTTGTGTTTAGTTTTTAGAGTGCCAGACAGTGTACGAAGTTCAAGAAACCCAGTAATTCTGAGTGATATTCACCATTGTCAGAACCCTTTAGAAAATTATTAATATGTGGATAAGTTACCTGTAATTACAGTAGCATGCATAATATTTTGCATTCCTACATTTTTCTTAAAAGGAGCTTTTCTTTCACGTAGGGTTCTACGGTCTTAGTCGAATAATAGCATGGTGTTTCTTCAGTTCATCAGCCATCCTCTTTGCACCATTAATCTTTGAAATGGAGCGAGCTCAGGTAGAAGAAATGCAACGTAGCCAGCAAAAACAGGTAAATACCCAACATATTCATTTTATAATGAATTATATTATTTTGAAGCCTTGGTATGGTAATGGAGGAGGAACTCTCAGCACAGAGTATTTAGAGAAAATTTGTATTGTATGTGTATGATGACTGGGGAGGGTTTTGTTGCATTTGACACCATTCAGTGTTATATGCAGCTATGTATGAATGATTACAGGGGAAGATAACAAAATGTTTATATGTGCAAAGAAAGAGAAGTTAGGTGCTTTTAATGAAGTCCACTTTCTAAACAAGTTTTCCTGAAATCATTTCACCAGAGTAGGTGCACCATATTGTCTTTCTACCAAGTGTAGTATGTTAGTGTAAACATATGTGTCTTTCCAGAACTTTTTAAATTATCAAACTTAGATATTTTTGACAAAATTTGTTTTTCTAGGTGAAAAATGTTGCATTCTTAGTAAATTTTATGCCCCAAATTTAGTACTGATGTTCATATTTGCAACAACTTACCACTGAAATTTTCAAATGTTTTATGTTGGTATGAGTGTAATTATGGTACATAGGTCTTGACTTTCAATTTTTCAATTTCAGGTGCTTCTGGGGCCAAGTAGTGCCATGTCAGGTGGTATGGGACTCATGCCCCCCATACACCGATAAGATTTGCGAAGAGGAGTTCGAGATCAGTATATTAGACAGCCATGGTAATCTCATTAATGCGTACAGGAACCAACCCACATCAGTCATGACAAAACTTGTTGAAGAGCTGGCACCAGCATAACATTTTATTCAAATATTAGTGTAACTGAATTGCATTAAAATTAATATAATGAAATGGAATGCATTTAAAATTCATTGTCCTCATGGAAATAATAGATATATTGTGGCACAGCTTAACATAATGTAATTATGTGAAGTGTCCATGTCAGCACTCATTGTCAGATTATCCAGTTGGAACTGTCATCAGAAGCAAAGTAGTACGACTTATATGTCTTTATAAATAATAGGGGGACTGAGGTTTCAAGCCACACAGTGTGATGTTTGTTTCAAAGTTGTGACGTGTTGTTGACTTTGGTTCAGTGGAAATCATTGTGGGCCTGGTAAAAAATTTGCAGTGAAAGAAATGTATAACAAGAAATTGTGTTTGAGAAATTGCATGGGAGGTCAAGAAGTGTTCACATCCTGTTGCACTTTTTATTTCTTAGTATGTTTTAAAATGTCGCAAATATATACATGTGTGTGTCTCTTTCACCCATGTTTTGTTACCAGTTGAAAGAATAAAATGATGAGATGAAGTTTTAGAGACTTAACTGTGTTTGGGAAGGAAAATAATCACAGGTTCGTATTGGTATAATGACACTTTTGTTCTGGAGTGAACTATGTAAAGGCTTGCTGTAAAGGAAGCAAGAAAGTTTAGCAAATCAAAAGTGGTGAATATCATGTCACATTCCATGACAGTTTTCTTTTCCTCCACCATATGTTTTTCATGTACTGAGTGTTTAATTGAGAACCATGTAATGTACGTGGCAGTTACATGGCTTAATTAATCACCATGCCATTTAGAGAGCAATGACAATGTCTTACTGTTGTTGACACTAATTCAATGGGGGTATTTCCTGACTTCCGCAAAAATTGCATTCACAACAGTATTTGAATAATGAAAAATTTGAAGAAAGCGGTCTTCTGGGATGTGGCGCTGCTTGCAGATTTTCTTTTTTCATCTACCCTGAAGATGTAGGCGATACGTTCCTCCGAAACTTCGGTTAACACAATATCTACACGGCACCACATTCCAGAAGACTGCTTTCTTCATAGTTACCGCTGTGAAAACCTCAAATCTTACACAATGAAAAATTTTATTACTGATTTGGTTTAACTCCCATTAGTTTTAATTGAAGGGCACGTAATTCAATTAAATTTAAGTGCCATTCATTTTAGCCATCTACAGATTCAACTTCTGTGTTCCAAGCACAATAATTTCATTATTCTTGTGCCTTTACAAAAACAGTTTGGTAAATTATATTCTTTATGGTTTATTTCCTTACTTCAGAATTGCAGAAGTGGGGTTGAAATTGAATTGGTATGAAGTTGTGGGTATGTGAATTGTTCAAGTCAATATAATTTAAATATGTACTGTATGTACCAAGGCAAAATTTAAAAATTTGGTGCCAAGAACATCCTTTTTCCATTTCTATATCTAACGAATGAATGAAGCTAATTTTTCTATATTGTGTACCTTACTTAAAGCTGAAACTATGAATTATTAAGAAGGAAGGTGATTTATACTATTTGTCTTCACACTTGCATAAATCTGTGCTAATTCGAAATGGAAATCAAGTAGTCTGAAGCGCAACTTGCCATAGTTTGAGTACCAGCAGATGCAGGATAATTTTGACAGTCCAAAGTAATTTTAACTCCTTGACACTAATGTTAATTTTGTGAGAACTGCAGTGTATAAAGAAAAGGTTGTGTCTGATGTGGATAGAATGTGCAATGGTGAGTACAGGAATAGCTAAGAGAGAGAGAAAAAAGTAAAGCTATCCCTGTAACAGGCCGTGAATGCCCCTAGGGTTGTGAGACGTTGAGGGTCTCGCATTATCTAGACAGTCGGTTCAAAGATGGTGGCAAGGTTGTCAGCCTTACTCGCTGGCCGTGCTTTGCTCCCCAGGAAAATTATTTAATTAATTCCTGGTACTCATTTCTGTTAGAGGCTCAGTGAACCCCAGGGCCATAGTGCGGCTGGAAGGATTAGGTCAATTGAAAAAATACAGGAACAGCTAAGAGACTTGGAAAACTTATTCCATAGAATTTTCATACAAAGCATAATGAAGTAACCCAAGATCAGGAACATCTGTGAAAATCAACAGTGTATAGTTGAAAATTTATCGAGTGAAATGTAAAATGTCATAAAGAAAAATCACAAACTGTTTGATGGTAATACAGGTTTGGTGTAGAAGTAAATACATAGAATGCCATATATGTTCGTGTCTCACATCACAACATGGGGAAAATCATAATTTATAGATAGCTAAAAAATATATATTGGGTTTGAGACTCTCATGTTGATGTCTTGAATAGTACTGTCTAGTGAGGTATGGCTGTATAGTTGAACAGAATATTGCTAACATCTCAGATGAATGTATTGCCTCCAAGTCAAGCAAGCAGCAGTTGCTTATTACTTGACTGTGAAGATGACAGCATTCCTCTGAAATGTAAATAGGCTTCTACCACAGAACTCTCTTCGGGGATATAATGCCATGTACTCCGTTGAAAGTCAACCAATGTTTTGGAGGAACACAGTTCTCCATCTCTGGGGTCAAATAAGCCAAGCAAAATACCATCATGAAAGTAGGTGGCAAACAGAGCTTGCAAAGCAGAGGTGATATGTTTCTTCAAAACACCAGCTGAATTTCAACAGAGTACACAGTGTTATATTCCAGAAGATATTACTCTTCATAACCACGTCTGTGGGAACCTCAAGTCCTACAGACTTCTTCCACATTACACAGTGAACACATCCCAGAATATAGTACACTTCAACTAATAAGTCCTTTGAAAATGTGTCAGAATTAAAATATTGAAGGCATGTAGCACGAATGGGGGAGAAAAGGAATACATATAGGGTATTGGTGGGAAAGCCAGACGGAAAGAGACCACTGGGAAGAGCAAGGCGTAGGAGGGTGGACAGTATTAAAATGGATCTTAGAGAGATAGGATGGGATGGTATGGATTGGATTGATTTGGCTCAGGATATGGGCCAGTGGAGGGCTCTTGTGAACACGGTAATGAACCTTTGGGTTCCATAAAATGCTGAGAAATTCTTGAGTAGCTGCAGATTTGGCTTCTTCTCAAGAAGGTCTTGGCTCCATGAGTAAGTAAGTAAGGAACAACAATTAAAAGAGATCAAAATTACATTCATGAAGAAAGTAAGAGTGGATTAAGTTCCAAGAATACTTTTTACCATTTGGTTAAGAATCTTGTTGTTACATCTCCTATCTAAAAATCTAAGACAGTTTTGAAAAACTGTTATTTCATTTGTGTGTCACCATAATATTTGTCTCCTTTTCTCCTTTGTACACAGGAAGAAACTGGCGGGCAGAATGTTGAAGATTTTAAAGACATCCAAATGCAGTAAAATGGATAATGTTTTACAGATTTAAGGGGCTTGTGTCAAACATTATGAAAGCCAAAGTTGTGGTAGAAAACATCAGCGAATTCTCATTTTGGTGTGTGAATGGAGTACCTGAGATTTGCCAGTAAAAGTCCCTTATTTGTCTGTTAATTCTTATTTATTTCTTTTTTGGGGGAGGAAAGGATTATCTGGGCAATATGGCGTCAAATACTGGAATGAATTGGAAAGGATCTTGAAGGAAGCAATCATGACCCAATCAAGGTACTGTCCTGTCATTTGCCTGGAGGAATTGTAGGAAAACATTTTTGTGGATAGCTGGCCAAGATTTGAACCTAATACCTCCCAGATACAAGTGTTACTATTAGACTAGCCTGTTCAGTCGATCTTCTTGAGTATGAGGGGTGAGCCATAAAACTGGCCCTAGCACTGCAACCTTCAATGGTCTGTTGTGCTTCAGTTGACCTTCTTAATGATATACCTATAAAATAAAGATCTGAAAATCTTTAAACGACTGAAAACCAGTATTTTGGTGGTATATAGAACTTTACCTATAATTAAAACTCTCCAGGTCAGGACCATATAGTGTTAAAAACCTGTTTCATTAAAAGCATAAACTTCTCTGCAATGTCTAAATTTTGTTGTTGATGATAGTTGACATCTCAAAGTAGTATGCTAAATCAGAGGCATCAGGGGGATGTCAGAAATATGAAAAAAGGTGTAAACCCCATCCCAGAATTTTTAGTTCTGTTCTTCACTTCATCCTGTCCTAAGCTGGAATAGCTCAGTTGCTGAAGAGGCAATGGGCTGAATGACTGTTGTCAGCATGGTCAGAATTTTCCTCTGTGCCATAATGGCCAGACAAACACCCAGCCTCCCATCCAAATTGGTTACCAGGCATGTTTCCTCGCATTTATGTTCTCAGGTAAAACGCCTACTCTTTCGGGCCCACTTAATAGAGATAGTCGATATTTATGGCTTGTTGCCTGAAGAGGGAGGGAGAGTCCAATATCTGAAACGTTTTAAATAAAAATTAGGATGATGGATGGTGTTGAAAAGCGTCATTATATTCAGTTTCTAATTTGGTGCTTTCTGACACAGATGTTGGTACACCATGTAAAAAGGATAATCATTTTCAGAATGTGCATGGAAGGATAATTCCCTGTTTTGGTAGGTTGCATTATATTTTAATAGTCCTAAAATTCGAGTTTTCTTAATGCTCAGAAGGATTCACCTGTAAAGGCTACCAGTGAATGTAGAATCTTGGTTCATTCATTCATTTATTTTCACTTTATGGATCCAATCACCTCTCTATAGGGCTGGGTGTAAAACATGTCACACATTACAAATTCATGATGACTACACATCACATGTCCTTGGTCCAATAAAGTATGTAATCAGGCCTCACGCAGAAGCACAAGTTGTCAAGACAACACACACAGGCCATGGAAAGACCACTGTCACATTCGACTCTGAATAAAATCCCTCATATTTCCAAACATAACAACTCTATGCTGTGCAATTGCACACCTTGCCATTCCACATTGGCCAGCCATGTCATCAATACAGTTTCATTGTAACATATTTAATTCATAATAAACACAGACATCATACATACTGTTACATGTAAGCGGCCTCTGTAGTCTAGAGGTAACGTTCCCACCTCATGACTTGTAGTACGCGGGTTCAAATACCCAGCGGAGGTCGTCGAATTTTTAAGGGTGGAAAAATTCAGGGAACAAGTCCTCCG